TGTCATTGTTGTTCAGCTGGCCAGGCCAGGTTCTAACCCCTCACCCTTGGTGTATGTGGCTGGCGCTACAACCACTGTGCTATGGGCACCGAGCCTACTCTCTCCTTCTAAGATGACACCTTGTTATTGTGTCCTCATGGAGTAGAAAGTGGAAAGGCAAGGAAGTATGGAAGTAAGCTAGCCAAATGCTGCACGAAGCCTCTTTTATCAGGTCCTGAGTCTCATTAATGAGCAGGGAGTCCACATGCCCTGTCACCTCTCAAAGCCTGTCCTCTTAATACTATCACACTGGCAGCACTTGCATTTTAGAGGGGACACATTTAAACCATAGCACCACTGAAATGAACAATTCAGTAGTATTAGTACATTCACAGTGTCGTACAACCACCATCTCCTGTTTCATTCTAAAACATTTCCATCACTACAAAGTAAGACTTCTTAAGCAGTTTCTCTCCACTCTCTACTCCCTCATTCTACTGCCCCTGGCAACCACCAGTTTGCACTCTATGAGTTTGTCTATTCTGGATATTTCTTATGAATAGAATTATACAATTTGTGACCTTTTGTATCTGACTTCTTCCACTTGATGTTTTTGAGATTCATCTGTATGGTCGTATATTATCAGTACTTTGTTATTTTTTATGGATGAATAGTGTTTCCACTTTTATATATACTGCAGTGTATGTATCGTTTGTTGATTGGTATCTGGGCTATTTGCTCTGTTTGGCTGTTGTGAGCAGTGCTGCTATATAGGTTGAGTACCCCTAACCCAAAAATCTCAAATATAGAATGCTTCGAAATTTGAAACTTTTTGAGTGCTGACGTGATGCTCAAAGGAAATGGTCCTTGGAACATTTTGGATTTCAGATTTTTGGATTTGGGATGCTTAAGCCAGTAAGTATAATGCAAATAATCTAAAATATGAAAAAATCTGAAATCCAGTATACTTCTGGACTCAAACATTTTGGATAAGGGATACTCAATGTGTACAAACCTGTGAGTATCTGTTTTGAGTTCTTTTTTTAAATATAAAAATAACATTTATTAACTTAGGCTGTACAATACATTAATTTAGTCAAATCAGAAAACCTACATAAAAACGTAAGTAAATCCGTAAGGTTCCATTAAGCCTGAATTTTATGTTCTGGATAGAACAAGAGGCTGCTGTTCACTTAAAACAAACAAAAAGGCAAAATGGCTCCAATTCCATTTTCTAGGAACACATGAGGCTATGCCAGTCAGGCACTGTAGTTGATCCAATGTTGCCCACGTCAGGGGCCAGCCCGCTGCCCAGAACTCTGCCCCAGTGCTGGCTTCTTTGCTGTTAAAGCAGTAGTCTTAGGACCCTTTTTACAGAAGTTCAAACAATTCCATAGTCCTCAGATCTTCACGAATGTGTCTGCATTACCTGCCAGTCTGGAAGCTGAAATCACTGTGCTGTATAGCCTTTCAAGCATTAGCAGCATTTTCCAAAATTTTTCTTTTCTATTCGTCATCTTTCTGCAGTTTATGTGGGGTCTCTACTACTTTCTCTGTTTCCTTTGCTGGGGGTTCAGTCATTGTTTTCATTTTCTTCTGTGGTGGAGTAGCTGAATCTCTAGGTTCTCTGTTAGTCTGCTGTCCAATATTCTCTAACTGTTTACACTTTCGGTCAGATATGGCCTTTTTTATACCAGATGTGGATACCCCTTTGTTTTTATACACTTTCAGTTTTAGAATCTTGCATGCTGAGAGTAGTGCAGGAGTGGTGAAAAGTGGTCTGGAAAAGTCAAGATCTACTTGCTGTGTCTTAGGAAGATGGACTCACAGCTTTGCAGTAACTTTGAAGCCATCTTCACACTTCTGTGCAGCTAGGTCTCTTATTCCAATATTTAAATCCAGGTCCAGTAAACACTCAAAAGATTTAAGATAGCTCTGATATGCCTTCTTGTTCAAACTAGAAAGTTTAATTAAATAAGCCCTGTCCAAGGGGCACATCATGCAGGAAGCTGCAAGGTTCAGGCACATTACTCACTGCTGGTCTTTGTGGTGAGTGCAGACAGGCCAGCACACTTCAAGTGCTCCCTAAAACTCTCAGCACCTCAGGCTCGGAGAGGCCCAGATAAGGGGCCAGGGGCCTGATCAGCCCCGATCCCATGGTGAGGAAGTAGGCAGCCCACATGGACAGCCGCAGCGACACGAATCTGTTTTCAGTTCTTTGGGGTGTACCCTTAGGAGTGGAATTGCTGGGTTATCTAATTCTATATTTAACCTTTAAGGAACTGCCAGTCTACTTTCCATAGCAGCTGAACCATTTTACATTCTTACCAGTAGTGTATGAGGGTTCTGCATCTTCCCTAACACTTGTATTCTATATGTAATTTTTGATGTTTTTGATGGTATTATAAGTGGCATAGTTTTTTTAAAAACATTTGCTGTTTATTGTTAGTTTATAGAAAAATATTTTTCCCTGCTATATAAACCTGGTGTCCAGTGACCTTGTTAAATTCATGTGGAGGCTGTTAATTCTTTTTTTTTTTTAGACAGGAGCCTCAAGCTCTCCCCCTGGGTAGAGTTCCATGGCATTTCAGCTCACAGCAACCTCCAACTCCTGGGCTCAAGCGAGTCTCCTGCCTCAGCCTCCCAAGTAGCTGGGACCACAGGCACCCGCCACAATGCCTGGCTATTTTTTGGTTGTAGCCGTCATTGTTGTTTGGCAGGCCCAGGCTGGATTCAAACCCGCCACTTTGGGTGTACGTGGATGGCACCTTACCCACTTGAGCCATAGGCGCCTAGCTTGTTAATTCTAATAGTTTATTTATTTACTAGATTTTTCTTTTTTTGAGACAAAGTCTCACTATGTCACCTTCAGTAGAGTGCTATGGCGTGACAGCTCACAGCAACCTCAAACTCTTGGGCTTAAGCGATTCTCTTGTCTCAGCCTCCCAAGTAGCTGGGACTACAGGTACCTGCCACAGTGCCGGGCTAGTTTTTTGTTGTCGTTGTCATTGTTGTTTAGCAGGCCCAGGCTGGGTTCAAACCCGCCAGCCCTGGTGTATATGGCCGGCACCCTAGTCACTGAGCTACAGGCCCCCAAGCCTGTTTACTGGATTTTCTACATGTACTTGAGTTTTCAACTTCCAAATGCTTTCGTGTTCTTTGTTCCTTTTCATAGTAATTTTATGAATGCAATAATATTCTTGTGAATGGCTTAGAATACATTTATAAGAATTTAAATTCTCTTTAAATTTTTCATTATCTTAGTTTCCTTTGTAATTCTATTGCTTTTCTTTTTGGTCCTTCTTAATTTTGGATTTATTTCTTAATTATATGGTAATCCTTGGTTATCCCTTCATGCTTATGAAGGACTGGGGTGGTTGGTTTTAGTAGCTGATACTGGCTTACTCTCACCTTTTTGAGGTCTGTTTTCCCAAAACAGCTTTACTCCAGATGTGATTACTAATTGAGAGCTCTGCATGAGTTTGATTTAAGAGCTAGCAGCAGAGAGATTAGGCTGAAGACCTAAAATATTTTCTGGGGGTTGAGTGCTGTAAAGACTTTCTTTTGTTGGTTTTGTTTCCTCCTGATCCCTTGCCTCCCCTCCTCTATTTGTGGATGTTTGGCGCTACCTCAGGGTCAGCCCTGCTTCTCTTTTGTCCCTAGCACCAGTGCTGGATGCTCTTCTCCAGCAGATCTGGATAATAAGTCTAGAGCCAAAGTTTACATAGGAAGTAACACTGTTATGAGTGGCTCTGCTGTTGCATGAGCAGTCTTTTAATTTCCATGTTTTCTGTGTGTTTTAATCCGGCTTCTTGATGCTGAGCTTGGCATTTTCTCCTAAGTTCTATTTAGGGGATTGGTAAAGATAGCTTTCACTTCACTGTAGTCCTTTGTTTGCTTTGCTTGGGTTGCTGTTTCTTCTAGAAATACTACTATTTCTTTCTTTCTGCCTTTTTTTTTTTTTTTGGTTATGACTGAAGCTATTGTGTTCAGATTGTAATTATTAAAAGTTTTAACATAAAACACATGTATATACTCTGTAGCTTAAATAAAGCAAGTACAATAGAAGTTCCTTATTTTCTTCTCTGTATTGTACTCCTTCTCATACATCTATTAATATTTTATCCTATGTGTGTGCATTTCTAAACAATACAGAGCATTGTTTTGAATGTGTTTGATCTTTTTTTCATTCATTATGGTTTTTTTATTTGTTCACTTTCTTAGTATATGTTTTCTGTTGTTTCAGTGGAATTTGGGTAGGGAGGGTAAGTCAGCCAATGTATTTCTGTGACTTTACAAGGGAGATGTAAACCTTTGGGGTATATACTGTTCACTAAGGGCAGTATCTGTCCAAGACAGAATTCTGTATCCCAGGGTTAAAAAAATAAAAGCAACAGGGGCGGCGCCTGTGGCTCAAAGGAGTAGGGCACCGGCCTGTTTATCGGAGGTGGTGGGTTCAAACCTGCCCCTGGCCAAAAAAAAAAAAAAAGAAAGAAAAGCAACACAAAGAGGAATATCTTGGAAAGGTGTAATAGAAAGGACTTGGTGTTACCTCTTCTTGTTTCAACTGGTGATGATAGGTGAATATGACACCTAGCCATGTTATACAAGCGAGGTAATTGAGTCTTGCTGCTGACCTCTATTTGGTGTTATAAATCCCTTTGGAGACAGAGAAACACCATTCAGTTGTGTTTAGGGTTTAAGTGAGGCTGAATAAAGATTTGAGTTCTTATTGCTGGAAGGAATTTTTAGAGATCATTTAGTACAGACTGTACTAGAGAAACTCCAGGCCTAGCAAAGGTAAGTGACTTGCCTGAGGTGATCCAGGGGAAAAACACAAAGTTGAAATAAGCCGCAGTTCCTTCTTCTTTTTGCTTATGAACCAAAGGTTAGAACCCTCTCTTGTTAATGTTCAATTTTGCTTGTCCTTTAAAATACTTAACTTGAACATCAAGACATTTTAGTTTGTAAGAATGAATTTAAATCTTTGAGCTTATGCTTATTTGTCATGTTTTTCTTAGAGTCAAAATGGTTTCCATCCCAGAATACTACGAAGGCAAGAATGTTCTCCTCACAGGAGCTACTGGTTTCCTAGGAAAGGTGCTTTTGGAAAAATTGCTGAGGTCTTGTCCTAAGGTGAATTCAGTGTATGTTTTGGTGAGGCAGAAAGCTGGACAGACACCACAAGAGCGAGTGGAAGAAGTCCTTAGTGGCAAGGTAAGTGTGGAAAATGATCATTTGAGGGGGGGAAAATATATACTTCTGTATATAATTATTATAATCTTTAGTAGCTTAGTATTATTTCTTCAGTATTCTAAAAAGTATTAGTAAAATTAATTTATTAATGGCAGTAGTAAATTGGTTGTGATTTGTGACTCTGTGGGAAAACAAAGCTTTCCTCCTTGGTGAGCAAAATTGTATAGTAAGTTCTAAGTTACCTTTATGGTAGATAATTAAAGTATGTTTTAAAACATTTGAGGCAGGTTACTTGTAACTACTACGTATTTTAAATAACCTTCAGATAATAATTATTTGGTAGATTTAAATTACCTACTATGCTGTGATACAGTATGTTTTGATAACATTGTAAAATTTATAAGTACCAGTTGCTCCCCACAGCACTTTTAGGAGTAGAGAAGTCACATGTTCCCATTAGGATATAAGAATAGGTCATACAGTTTGAAACTTTAATATTGCTAAGAAAAAATGGAAATGATCTGGAAAAAGTGATTTTATACTTATAAGCTTATGAATTTTCTCAAAATGAATGAATTTATCTGATATCCATTGATAGTTTGAATTGGAAAGCTATAGCTCAACTTTGGTACAGGTAAGGAATCTGAATCTATAGTCATATCACAAAAAGGAATTTCAATTATAGTATTCATTTTATAAGAGATCGACACTTGTTTGAATAACCAAATTTTTGTAGGCCTGTTAAAAACACTCAAAACTATAGCAAACTCCACCACAGCAGCCAACCAGACTCTTGACTTTGAATGAACTTCATAGATCTTTATCGTAGATTTTGGATTGGAACTGATTGTTCTATCACATTAACTTTTCTTTTACACTACACAGCAGATACTCCTCTTCATGTTGCTTTTATTTTTTTAACCCTGGGATATAGAATTCTGTCTTGGAAATTTAGAAATTGTCCTTATACTTGTTAATTTTTCAAATTAATCTGTTATTAGTCTCCTTTAATTATTTTTTCTCTTTCTGATTCTTTGCTGAACTCTTTTGGAATCCTTTGCTTCCCTTAAAATCTATGAAAAAGGAATCATCAATGGGGCTATAAAACTACAAGACTTGTTCTAAGTAGAAAACCTGCATGTATTTTTGGTAGCCATCTCTGCCGTTTGTTTATTCATGTTGGGATTTTATTATGGGCACTTGTAATTAATACAGTTTTAAATTTCCCTCTCAATATCACTCTTCTCCCAGTGAGAATTATTTATTCTTAATCATTATTTATTTTTCAGAAAATATTTTTGTGCCTCCTTAATACTGGGCATTTTGACTTAAGATAGGGTTTTGAATTTAGGTATAAATAATACTGAGTTTCTGCCTTCTGGATAATTTTTAAGAGGGGAGAAGGAAGGCAGAGAGAGTATAGAGGTGTTGAAAGGAGCCTCATCTGAATTTGATGTCTTGGTTGGAGTTGAGTGTCTGGACATCTCCTCTGGGCGTCTTGATAGCAGTGCTTTCAAGATTTTCTGTACAGTAAGTCTCATTTGCAAAGAAAAGGAATATTTTCTACTTAAAACCTGAAATTTCATTGAACCTTTATGGTTTAGCCTAAGTACATGGACATTCCTTTAATTACAAAAGCGTTTATCTCCAAACATTTGACTAATATTATACTTCATAAAATTATGTCATTTTATCTTCTGCCTCAGTTTTCTCCTTACATATCCCACCACTTAATCCTGGGGCCACTCATTCCCTGTTATGTATAGAATTTCTGGCGAATCAATGACAATGATTCCTTTTTATGTCAAGTTGTTAGTATACCCTTGATGTTTAGTAAGAAACTTTACGTAAAGCCTAATATAATTTTGAAACAGGAATAAAGACATAGGCACAAAGCATATACCAAAGTTGGGACATTGGCTTATAGTAGGGTTTCTCAACTATCAACATTTTGGGTTGGATAGTTCTTTGTTTGGGGGCTTGTTCTGTGCATGGTAGGGTGATCAGCCGTATTCCTGGCTTCTACTCACTAAGTACTAATTCCATTCTCCCTTTCCTCTCCTTGTGACAACCAAAAATATTTTCAGACATCACCAGATGTCTTTTAGACACCTAATTCATACTTGGTTGAGAACCACTTGAGTATGGGAATGTCTTGGGGAAAAGACTCTATGTCTGGTCAGGACTGAATTAAAATAGTTGATTGTGAAATAAATTGTGGAAAGGGAATAAAGAATATTAAAAAGGCATTAGCAAGCTTAATAAAGTAGGAATTAAGATATCGGTGGGTTGAAAACACTGGAAAAGATAATACTGAAGAAAGGGTTGATGGCTAGAGAATGGAAGAGTATCAAATTTGAGAGCTAGCTTACTAAGCAACCTGGTCATGTCCTAGTAGTTATGGTATATATAGCTGGAAGTAAGGAGAATTAAAGGTTATCAGCAGTCAGGAGAAAGAAGAACTATGAATCCAGGTGTTAAAAAGTGCTTTTCTGGAGCTGGGTGTGGTGGCTACCACCTGTAATCCTAGCACTCAAGGTGAGTGGATTGCCTGAGCTCAGGGGTTTGAGACTAGCCTTAGCAAGAGTGAGATCCTGTCTCTACTAAAACTAAGAACAAGGCTTGGCACCTGTAGCACAGTGTTACGGCGCCAGCCACATACACTGGGGCTGGCGGGTTTGAAACCGGCCCAGGCCAGCTAAACAACAATGACAACTGTAACAAAATAGTCGGGCATTGTGGCTACACACGAGGCTGAGGCAAGAGAATCTCTTTAGCCCAAGAGTTTGAGGTTGCTGTGAGCTTGACCCCACCACACTCTACGGAGGACACTCTACTTTGTCTCAAAATAAATAAATAAATAAAATAAAAATAGAATAAAAATTGGAAAATAAAACACACTAGTCAGGGTGTTGTGGTGGGTGCCTGTAGTTGTAGCTACTCAGGCAGATGAGGCAAGAGCATTGCTTGAGTCCAAGAGTTTGAGGTTGCTGTGAGCTATGATGCCACCGCATTCTACCCAGGGCTACAATGAAACTTTGTCTCCAAAAAAAAAAAAGTTGTGGCATACTTCTTGGGGGCAGGACACAATTATAAGAGAGACTTTAACAAATGCAATCAGTATAACCTAATTCTTTGTACCGTCAATGAATATCAAACAATTTTTTTTTTAAAGTACTTTTCTGGTTATTCCTTAGATTCCTTTTCTCTTTCCCCTTAAATACTGATATTCTTCCAGTTTCTGTCTTAGGCCTTATGTTTTCTTAGTAGGTCCAGTCAAGTGGTTACCCTCTATTTTATGTGAGATGAATGGTTGTACTTTAAATTAGATTTAGAAGTAGCTTCATACAGTTTAGATCTTTGGTGCTCATTACTGCTGTTACAATAATCCCTTTCATTGCCAGGGCTTCAATTACTACTTGTGTGTGGTTAGTAAAATCTTTATCAGTCATGAGGCAGTCTTCCCCTGAACTCCAGACTCACCAGGCCAATCCACCTGTACTAGACCTGTCTTCTGGGGTGTCATATAGGCATTTTATACTCAACATTCACAAGACTGGACTTGTATCTCCAAAATTGTACTTCTTTCTCTTCCATTGTTCTTAGTTTAGTGAATTTATTCACTCAACAGATGTTTATCAGATCTTTCTTGTCAGGCAAAATCTGCGATCTAGGGCCTGTGTTGAGCAAGATAGATGTGGGTGGCCCTTGCCCTCATGGAGTTTGTGTTCTTTATCCATTAAATGCAGTCATTGACTGTGTCTTATTGATGTAACATTCTAAATATCTCTAAAACGTATCTATCTTTTATTTCTTATTATGTTGGTTTAGATCAGGCAATTTCTCATCATGGGTAACTGCAGGAGGGTTCTAAAACTCCTTATAGTCAAGGAGTTCTTTATAATTATGAACATGCTTGTATCACCTTCCTGCTTAAGGTCTATCAGTAGCTCACCTTTGCTCTCAGTGAAATTCATCTATTTAATGTGACTTACAAGACATAAGTATCTGCCCTTCTTATTTCCACATAACTTCAACCACTTTTTCCTTCATACTCTATGTTCGAGGCCTAAAGAATTATTTTTAATTTCTCAAGCACTCTCACTTCTCTGGGGTTGTACATGCTCCTCCTTCCTGGAGCACTGTTCTTCTACTTTATAATCCAGACCTTCCCCTGCTTGCTTGTGTCCCCAGCGTGTACACACACACACACACACACACACACACACACAGAGGTTCTGTTTATCCTTTAGGTCTCAGCTTAAATGTCATTTTCTCCGAGAAGCCATCTGTGATCTTCCAAAGCTGTGTTAGTTGCTTTTTGTATAGTCCCATAACACTATACTGTTACTCCTATTTTATTACTTACAGCACTATTTTAATTGTCTGTTGTGTAGTTTTTACTGTTAGACTGTAAATAACTTGAGGACAAAGGACATTTCCTTGTTTTCTCAGTATTTATAAGTTACCTGGCTCATAGGAAATTCTGCTTGGTAAATTTTTTTTTTAATTAATACAAGACACAATATTCAGGTCACAACCTAGCAGTGGTGGAAGGGAAGATTGTTATATGCTAAAGTCATCTAGATAAATAAAAGTGAGGATCATATATATTATATAGACTTTGTTCCCAGGTTAAGAATCCTATTTAACCTGCCAGTATGGACTTTAAATGAAGTGGAGAGTCAATGTGATAGAGCAGTGACCTGGATGTGTAGCATCCGTCATCAGTGTTCTCTGTCAAATCTGGGATAAAAAAGTTAAATGTGACTTAAAATCGCATGTGTCTTTGAACTATAATCATCTATGATCTGTCTAGCAAAACTTATTTCTTTGGGTATACTCAAGGAATGGTGAATTGTACATTTGGGTCATATACATAGATACATATTTTGTTTTGTTTGTTTATTTCATTCTGGTCTGCATATTTGCTTGCTTCCTTTTAAAAAATTTATTCTGTTAGGTAGAATGTGAATCATAGTGCTTTAATCTACTGAAAGAAAATAAAAGTGACATGATGTAATAAATTAGGGTCTGGATTTTAGAATTCTGAATGATCATTTAATCATTTGTCTATAACGCTTAAACCTACTCCAAAGGCTAATATAATATAATTAGCTAAGGCCTGGACATTTCAAATTCATCTCTTCCAACTGCCAGCTCTGTGTCTTTGGCAGACTGACCTCTCCAAATCTCAGAATTCTTTATCTTTACAGTGGGGATAATAGTGTGGGCATCATAGAATGTTTTCTATATAGAATAATAGCAATTAAAAATAGCAATTTTAGTAATCTCTAATGAGAATTACAGTTTTAAAAAAAGAATAGTCTTAGGAATTGTATAGTTTTAAGTTATTAAAATAGTTATCCTTGGTGGGGAAAAATGGTGATAATAGGTTTTAGAAAGTTAAAAAATACTTCTCTAAAATAAGCATTTTTTCACCTTTGATAGCTCTTTGACAGATTGAGAGATGAAAATCCAGATTTTAGAGAGAAAATTATAGCAATCAACAGCGAACTCACCCAACCTAAACTGGCGCTTAGTGAAGAAGATAAAGAGGTCATCATAGATTCTGTCAATATTATATTTCACTGTGCAGCTACAGTAAGGTTTAATGAAAATTTGCGGTAAGTATAAGTACAGGTATTTGTATAATATTCTCATTTTAACCTAGTTAAAAGATCTATTTAATTCCACTTTCTAGTCAAGTTATTTTTGAAAGTTATTTGAAACTGTCATATATTAACTGTGGCTTTCATTATCTTAGAGTGTTAAAATAATTTCCTTCCGCTAACATTTTATTAAAAATTGGATAACAAGTGTATGTTTATTAGAAGAAGTTGCCATGAATTTAGACATGTGACAGGGAAGAGCCAAGAAATGGAATAGAAGAAAGAGAAGTTTGCTTCAGGTTAGGAGTATTAGTCTTAACAGCTAATAGAGTTTACTTCTTTCCCCAATTCTTTCAGAAACCTCTGCTCCTCTACTCCAGGAGGTTTTTTTTGTTTTGTTTTGTTTTGTTTTGTGTTTTATTGAGACAGAGTCTCTCTTTGTCACTCTTCTCCTCCCCATTATATTCTTCTGAAAATTAAACAAAATTAGTCTTAGGTTTTAAAATGGCTTGGCTGAGCACTGTGGCCTGTAATCTAGCTCTCTGGAGGCTGAGGCAGGTGGATTGTGTGAGCTCAGGAGTTTGAGACCAGCCTGAAGAAGAGTGAGACCCTGCCTCTACTAAACAACTAGCCAGGCATAGTGGTACATGCCATAATCCCAGCTACTTGGAAGGCTGAGGCAAGAGGATTGCTTAAGCCTAAGAGTTTGAGGTTGCTGTGAGCCTTGATGCCATGACACTATTCAGGGTGACAGAGTGAGACTTTGTCTCAAAAAAAAAAAAAAAAAGGATAAAATGGCTTATAAATTTAAATCCCACTTTTTTATCTTAAAATTTATTTTAATGTTGGGGCAAGGTACATTGGAGTAAGTTTAATTTAAAAATAAATTGGACCTCCTTTAAGATTCCTGTTTCAAGAAAAAGTTAACATTCCAAGTGTTCACTATTTAAAAACTAATGAATATTTTATTTAAAATAATGATTCTTAATTTAGAATAATCTTTTTGATGGTATGTACAAAAATAGTTTTTATAATGTTAATCTAGTTGTATGGTCATATGCCACTTCAAAAGGTATAGACTTTCTTAGCTTTTAAAACTACCTAAAAGCCTTTCTTCTAAAATGTTTTAAAATTAAATAGCTATAAGGAAGATATTGAAATGTTGAATGTTTGAGAATGATGGACTTGCTAATTACTCTATCAAAACATTGCTAGGTACCTCATAAATATGTATAATTATTATGTCAATTAAAATAAACAATGAGACCGGATGTGGTGGCTCATGCCTGTAATATCACTCTGGGGGGCCAAGGCAGGTGGAGTGCTTGAGCACAGGAATTCAAGACGAGTGAGATCCCATCTCTACTAAAAATAGAAAAACGAGCTAACTGTCTGGCAGATGCCTGTAGTCCCAGCTACTGAGGCAAAATGATTGCTTGAGCCCAAGAATCTGAGGTTGCTATGAGCTATGATGCCAGAGCACTCTACCTAGGGTGACAGAGTGGGACCCTATCTCAAAAAAATTTTTTTTTAATTGATTGCAAAAGGTTTTGCTATTATCCTCTCATACTGTCTTTAATAATACAGAAGTATATACCTTAATCAACATTATATAATGTGATAGTTCAGTGCCAAAGCATTACATTATGTTTTGTTATATTGCTGGTGAGGATACTGTAATGGTCCCTTATTTCTGCAGTTAGTGCTTTCTAGTTTTCAGGGTGTTTTCTCATTATTTTATTCCATGTTAGCCTTACTCACGGTACTATTACAGGCAAACCCATTCTTGAGTAAGCTGAGACAACATAATGGAAAGGGCATGAGCTTTGGAATTACATACCTTAATTGTAATCTTTTATCATTTATTAACCTAATTTGAGCAGTTATTAACCTCCTTGAGTCTCTGTTTCCTTATCTATAAGATTAACATGATTAACATTTCTCAAAAGAGTACTTTTTTCTTCCCTTAAAGAAGTTTAAATGATATTTTAGTTCACCTGTCCTCCATGGGAAATCTGGATCTGCGGCAGGTGTGGCAGTGCTTTGGTTTATTTACTTTTCTATGTAGCTAAGTGAAATACCATCCAGTTATGATATTGTTAGTGATTTGAAAGTGACCAAAAAGTTATTAGAACTATAATATAATCTCAGTTTCATAAAATAAGTATGTATATTTTTACATGTATCTTTCTATATTTGCCAATAATTGTCTTTGGATGGTGCAATTACAGGTAGGTTTTTATTTTTATCTGTATATTATGATATTTTTCCACATGGACATGAATTAAATTTAAAAGTATCCACAAATACCTTAGAAGTGATTTTTAAAAGCAACACATAAGAAATCTTTTTTTTTTTCTCTTCTTTTTTTTTTTTTTTGGCTGGGGCTGGGTTTGAACCTACCACCTCTGGTATGTAGGGCTGGTGCTCTACTCACTGAGTCACAGGAACCACCTAACACATAAGAAATCTTAAAGGAACTTAGAACCTTTACCAACTAACAAAATTTCCTTTTTTTAACATTTAAAATTTTCCTTACATGCATATATATTTGCATATAGGTCTAATAATTATTTTTAACTAATATGAATGTATTTCCAAGATTGTGAACGTGGTCCCTACTTTTTAGTTAATACTTTATAAGCTTTCCTAAATTTCATTAGTATGAAATGGTCAGTCTAATAGATATTTTCCCCCATAGTTCTGCTTTCCTCATAACCAAAAATAGAATTCACATAGCCTTATGAAGTTCGGCATTTTTTCAAGGAAAAAATGTATATAGACATTAACTAATTGTGTTACAGTCCTTATGGACTTAAAGGAGGAAATTCTTTAACAGACACTGATTTATGAACTGTTTTTATTTTTCTTTTTTTTTGGAGATATAGTCTCACACTGTCACCCTGGGTAGAGTGCCATGGTGTTATAGCTCACAACAACAACCTCAAACTCAAAAGAGGATGGGTTGAGCTGTCCTTTTGCCTCAGACTCCAGAGTAGCTGGGACTATAGGCATCTACCACAATGCCCAGCTACTTTTTTCTATTTTTGGTAGAGACAGGTTCTTGCTCCTGCTCAGGCTGGTCTAGAACTTGATTAGGCAACATTAATTAGGGTGAAACTCATCGAAGTAACTTTTACAAGGGAATTTTCTCTCTTTTTGTTCCCCTTTGGATAAGCAAGGCTTCCAATAAGAAAAGGACATCTTTTTATTACTATCCTTTCTTATTTTACTAGTGAGAGCATAACTGAAGAGGTAGACACTATATTCTTTCTTTGTCAAGCAATACATGTATATTCACTCACCTAGCCCTATTCATTACATTGAAATTACTATTTCTGTGAAACAATTTTAATGGATGTTCCTCATTTTGAAGTCCACATATTCTTAAAAGGAAAAATAGGATATGTTTGAATAACCATAACATGGGATAGAGAATAAGGAGTTACTAAGGAGCATACAATAAATGCTGTGAGAGTTGAGAGGAAGTAGAGTTCATTTATTTTCAGATACAGTAGTTCCTAATCTCAAGATGGGAAAGAAAGGGTATCAAGATGAAGAATGTAAATGTAAAGAATACTAACAAAGGTAAGGGGAGAAGTGAGGATAATAAAGGGAGTTACTCTAATAGTTGATCATGGGGTTTGGTGTAAGGGAAGGTAGGTAGCAGCAAGGGGAATGAACGAAGAACATGGCCAGTGGATCAGTGAAGTCAAGAGTAAAGAAGAACTGAAAAGCTCAAGACCATGATTGTGGACAGTAAGCAGGCTGAAGGGGAGAATGAATGGATGGATGATACGGCTTAGGGAAAACTTGTAGTATGAGCTTTTAGAAGTAGCTGATTCTGGGTGATAAGGTATGAAAATGAGAGGCTTTCCAAAAAGGAATGAAAGTAAAGATTGATCATTAGAAAAGATTAGGGAACTATTGAGTTTCTTGGGCATTGATTCTCAAATGTTAAGAACGTATTGTGAATCTTACAAATTACTGGAGTATGTCTTAAAAATGCAGATTCCTGGACTGCACTTGTGAAATTGTGCCCCTCTAGTTTTGGAGTAATTCTCCAGGTTCCCCACTTAACAAGAGCCTTGTGTGTGATTTAGTTGCTGTTGGACCTGCATTGCATCTTGAGAATCAGCCCTCTCAGAATCAGCTTTGGAGACATTGTTAATATTATAGGTACCTGAATTCCCTACCCTTAGATTGATTCATTGATCTCCAAACATCTGTGTCTGTATTTTCATTGAGGTTAAAAAAAGCATGGCCACAGTAGTGATGGGATCATATCTAGGCTGTATTTTCTCAGGAGTGAGGAAAGTATAAAAAAAGAGAGTTGTGTCAGAATGGCCTGGGGAACTAACTTAAAATAGAGTTTCCCAAGTCTCATTTCAGACCTTAAGAGTATAATAAACTCCAAGGTATATGTTATGCCAAGTATGAGAGTTCTGGTTTAAGATCTTTAGTAGTATGATCAACACAGATTTTGGAGAACCCAAGATGTCTGTAAGAAGACAGGAACAAGAAAATTTATTGGCTTTTTTTTTTTTGAGTTTTTGGCCGGGGCTGGGTTTGAACCCACTTCTGGTATATGGGGCCAGCTCCTTTGAGCCACAGGCGCCACCCAATTTATTGGCTTTTTAAGTAATTAAACGAGCTTGTCTGCCTGCCTTCTTTCCTTTCTTTTTTTTTTTCCTTCCTTTCTGTGGAAGTGTTTCAATGTCCACATTAGTGAAGGGCCACAATTACAAAGATTTGCTCATTTTGCACCCCTTTCTCAAAAGCCTGTCTAATTATTTAAGATACATTTATGACTCCATAAAACACAAGCGTAGTGAGAATGTTATTTTTGTTAAGTACTAAATGCTTTTGTGATCTAACACATCAGGGTCTCAGTCTTAAGTTCAACAGAATAGAAGTTAAGATTGTGGTAAAACCTGGCAGAGATACTAAGAGTTACTCATGTGGGTATAAAATGGCTTCAGGTTTGGGCTGTTGGATAAAGAAGTAGGGGGTGGAGGGAAAGCAAGGCACAAAAGTGTTCTTCTCAAGTAATTCCCTATTTTCAGTGACCCAGAAACTCTGTCACCATCCTAAGGAACATGTAACAGAATATCCTTTGTGTACTTTCCCCAAAACATTACTCTCCCTACCCCTATTGTTTTGCAAATGCAAAAGAAAAGAACACATTCCCTTATAGTCTACTGGACAGTGTCCTCTCTGTGAGCTGTCTTTCTTGCTGCATTTATACTTCAACACATTTTCTCCCTTAATTGAGATAGGAAGAAAAAAAAGACTCACCTATAATTTTAAGACCCAACCCAGTTATTTCATTAAAAAATAAATACTGTCTAGTGTGTTTTCATGGAGTCTCGGATATTATTAAATTAAATGAAGAAAAAAGGACCGGAGTTTTTTTCTCTCATGGACTTAGCCTCATTCCTGGTGACCCAGAACTTGTCATGTCCTCAGGAACCTGAAACAGAATATGCTCTGTATACCTCTTCCAAATAGTACCTTCCACATCCCCATTGTTTTGCAAATGTGATAGTCATCAAAGCACTGCTTTATCATCAAGTGTACAGGATTCTGTCTATGACACATCCTGACCTTTTAAAACAGTAGTTGTATATTTTTCTTCTTAAATACTGAAAATATAAGGATTTTGGAAAGTATGTAAAACTGTTTTCATGTTTTTTAAAAAATTGTTTTGTCTATGTTGAACATACATTGCTTTACATAATTGTGAACATAGGCTTTCTAATTTTACTTTTACAATTTAATATAGAAACAATTTCCATATTTCAGGTTTTTTTCAGTTATGATTTTAGGGACTTGATGATATTCCATCATGCTGAAAAGCTATAATTTATGTATATTCACTCAGAATAACAAACTAAGGGGCAGGCACAGTGGTTTATCCCCTTAATCCTAGGATTCTGGGAGGTGGAGGCAAGAGCCCAACTCCCTTGGGCTCAGGAGTTCAAGACCAGCCTGAGCAAGAGTGAGAACTGGTCTCTACAAAAAATAGAAAAATTCGCTGGGCATTGTTGTAGGCTCCTGTTGTTGCAGCTATTCAGGAGGCTGAGGCAGAGGATCCCTGGAAGCCCAGAAGTTTCAGGTTGCTGTGAGCTAGGCTGGGGCCATGGGACTCTAACCTGGGGCAACAGAGTGAGACTCTGTTAAAAAACAACAATAAACAATTTGTGGAACTTTAATTTCTTTTTGTTTGAAAAATTAGAACATGTTCTCTGAGTTAATTTCAGGAGGTTAACTAGATTAATAACTATAAATTTCTATAATTCCTAGTACTATGTCCTAGTTCCTTTCAGATCAGTTGTATCATATCAGTTTATAGTGTCACCAACAGTGTATTTCTCTGCCATTTTTATCACTCATTTTTATTGAGTATTTCAGATTTTTAAATTGACAAATAATTGTGTATATTTATCATGTACAACATGATGTCTTGAAAATGTGTATATATTATGGAATTGCTAAATTGAGCTAATTAACATGTGTATTACCACCATTTTTTGTAGTGAGAACACCTAAAATCTGCTCTTAGCAGTTTTTGACTATTTAATACATTGTTATTAACTGTCTCTATTGTACAGTAGATCTCTTGGTTAACTATTTGTTAAACAAGTAACAAGCTATACACAAAAGTTTAATTAAAAGTAAAAAATACCCACTTATCATTACCTTAACTAGTATTTATTGACTGTTTTGGACCTCTGTTAGAAATAATACTAAATACTTGCAAGTTATTTAATTTTATACAAATCTTGGTAGATTCCATTATTGAACCCATTTACAAATAAGGAAACTGAGGTCGGAGTGCTTCAGTAACTTTACATCCTAGTTGGTAGGTAGGGCAAGCCAGGATGAGGTCTAATTCTAGAGCCTTGTTTTTAATCTTGCTTTGCATAATATTATAGTCATGTTTTTGGTGTTTATACAGTTGTTTTTCATGTTTTCTTTAGCTTTCATATGATTATTTTATTGGCTGTAATCTTTATTGAACCATTCCCCTCATAGTGAATATTTGGTCTCTTTGGGCTTTTGTTATTATTAGATGATGTTTATTTGATTACTTTTCTGCATGTGTACTTTTTGCTTCTGTAGAACTACTTCTATAGAATTACTTCAAATAAATTCTGAGAAGGGAGTCTTGGATCATTTTGGGGTCTTGCATGTACCTCTGATAACAAATCTACTAGTTTTATTACAATATCCCTTTGAATTTTGTAAGAAGTCTTAAAAAGGTGATTGGATTATTACAAAGAAGGAAATAAACAAATCTTACCTGATTATATGTTACTGTAGTTTAATATTGATGAGTTTTCTTTTACTCTACCACTCTTATCATACTCTACCATAGCATCTGAAAATTACTTGATCATTCTATTTTTTCTTCTTGTGACATATCTATATCATGAAAGATTATACTTTTTCTTTTTTTTTTTTGAGACAGAGTCTCACAGCTCACAATGACCTCAAACTCTTAGACTCAAGTGATACTCTTACCTCGGCCTCCATGGTAGCTGGGACTGTAAGTCCCTGCTACAGCACTCAGCTATTTTTAGAGGTGGGGTCTTGCTCTTGCTCAGGCTGGTCTCCCAACTCCTGAGCTCAGGCAGTCCACCTGCTTTGGCCTCCCAGAGTTCTAGGATTACAGGCATGAGCCACCACACTCAGCCCAAAAGATTATACTTTTAAAAATCAAGATGTAAGCCAGGTGTACACCTATAGTCCTAGCCATTTGGGAGATGAGGCGAGAGAATTTCTTGAGTCCAAGAATTGGAGGCTATAGTGAGCTATGATAGCACTATTGTACTCCAGCCCAAGCAACAGAGTGAGATCTTGTCTTTATAAAAATAAGAAAAAAAAAAAGTAAAACCAAATGCAAAGAAGTCTAGCATGACTTCAAAAAGTCTTTAGCATAAAAGCTACAGGCTGAAATTATGTGTTTATTTCTGGATAGAAATAATTTTTTAATTCACCCTTTTGAATTAAAAAATTGAATGCTGTAATGAAGTTTATTTTATAAACAGGAAATTTCTTTCTAAACATTTTTAAACATAGCTGATAGAGTGAATGTATTTTATACTGAAATAAAATACACACAATTGGGGCAGCACCTGTGGCTCAAAGGAGAAGGACGCTGGTCCCATATGCCAGAGGTGGTGGGTTCAAACCCAGCCCTGGCCAGAAACTGCAAAAAAAAAAAAATACACAAAATTAGAGCTAAAGGATAAGTTGTAAAGGAGCAAAAATATCTGTCTATTTCTCTCTATACCTCTCTAATGAAAATAAGATTTTTTTAAAACAGGTCAAGTAAATACCAGTTTCCAAAGTTTTTATTGTCACTTTTCTTTCTTAATAGAGATGCCGTTCAGTTAAATGTGATTGCTACACGACAGCTTATTCTCCTTGCACAACAAATGAAGAATCTGGAAGTGTTCATGCATGTATCAACAGCATATGCCTACTGCAATCGAAAGCATATTGATGAAGTAGTCTATCCACCCCCTGTGGATCCTAAGAAGCTGATTGATTCTTTAGAGTATGTTTGTTTGAAGTTTGTGTACATTTGCTTTGATCTCCAAACTTCATATCCAAGTTTATCTTTCTCTCTTCCTTCCTATCTCCTCCCCCTCTCTCCCATCCCTTTCTCCCCCTCTTTAGCTCTCTTCTCCTTTTTTTCTTCTCTTCACATAAACCCGCAGATATGTACATTTGTCTCTTCTTTCCTCAACAAATTATTGCCTTTCTTATGTATTCTTTTTATATTGTGTTGATTTATACCTAAGGAGTGTTAGTGAAGTCAGTGGGTGGTTTTCATTTTGACCAAGACTAATGGTAATTGTTGGAGGTAAAGGGCCTCTGAACATCTTAACCATGATATTAGGAGCTCTGGTTTTCAGGGACTCAATCCTAACAGCAAAAAAGTACCTGTGGAGACAGTAACTGCTGGTTTAACAAGCAAGGTTCTATCATAATTTATTATAGAATTATCTTCCCCTCCCCCAATGGAGTACATCTATACAGGGCCTCTAGGGAATCAGAGTAGTCATAGTCCTTTGATTCCTACTCTTTGCGTTCTTGGTCATCATCTTTCTGAAACCTGGGATCCTGTCAGCATTTATTCCATGAAAAATATTTGTGAGTATTGATGGATGAGGATTAAGTAAAGTACGCATATACCATGGCCCTGTTCTCATTTGCTTTTGCCTATGCTTTCTTGTCAAAGAAAGAAGGATCAGAGCAAAGGGAAAAAAAAGAGAAAGCGAGGTCATTTTTCTTTCATGAACTACAATTATAGAAACATTCCAGTATCTATCTTCATATATTTGTCAACCCTCATATAAGGCCTCATCTTGGGTCCTTTTCTTCTTTACCCTTTATTCTTTTCTGTCTTCTTTAAGACTTCTTTCTTTCCAGAGATTCTACTTTTGACTGTTGAGTTATTATCTTCTATTTTCTCCTAAAATAAACATGCAGTCCTTTCTTTAAGGCCTTCTTGGTAATTACTATGAGGAAACACAATAATAAACAGATTATAAGAAAATTAGAATAAGTATGGGAGGATAGCAAGACATTCTTAAGGTTATTCCCTGATTTCTATTTTCTGACTCAGTTTCCAAAACTTGCTTTATTTTCTTGCAGGTCAGTAAACAGAAGTTTTTAATATTTCTGGGAAAAGCTGAGAGTAGACGTTAGTGAAGTAATTTGCTTTTTCTCTTTTTAACATTACTATGCAAACATCTAAGGAATTGAGAAGGAGCTTATAACCTGATGCTGTATCTCCTTTTCTTGCTTACAAAGTAATCTAGCCAATGGATAATTTTAGGGTAACTTACAATTTCTTCTGTAAACTCACTCCAGTGATAATGGCTTATTGGCTAAAATCTCTTCTCAGTTTAGGCAAGTTCTTCCCCCAACTCAGTGTATCAACTATTCATTTTTCAAAACTCGTCTCTATTGTGGAATTCTTCCCAAGTTTGGTAGCAGTCTCCCTTCAGTTTAATTAATGTTCTTATCCTTCCATGTACAAAAAGTACTTCCCTATACAGAAGGAAACTTACCTTGATAATTTCCATTTTATACTTCGTTATCAATTAGTATGGGTATCAATATACTGAGTAGGTTTGTGTGCCTAGCATTGTAAACAAAGAAAAAGTATCTGAAAACAAGAATAAAATATCAGAATCAGACATTTGAATGAGGAAAGACCATAGACATCACCTAGTATGTGACCCTGCTTTTACAGATGGTTAGAGTAGGCTTATTTCTTCAGAGAGACAGAGAATTGGAGCAATTTTGTGACTTTGTAGTAGGTTGCTGAAGGATTTTTTTATAGCATGGCTCCGTTTGTTTTAGTTTATCCTAGTAGTTGTTAATTTCATTAACAAAAGCATACAATTTAGAGTGCTTAACTTTAAATATTTAGATTATTAGACCTTTTGTATTAATTGCAAATGTATTAAATAATCTGCTACTCTGTAAAGTGGTTGTATATAGATCTGTAATTTCTAATCTGAAACCTTTGGGGCCAGGTATATTTTTGAGTTTATTTGGACTTTAGAGAGGAAAAATAATTTATATACTGTATAATATGCAAAAATTTCAATTTGATCTGGAGTAAGCATCCCTGAGCAAACACATATGAAGTATAACATATGAATATGTAAACAGTGATATTTTTAAAAAACCATAAATCAGTTCAGATGAGATTTTGCTGTTTTCCATTTGATTTATGAAAAAACGCTTGATTTTCAGATCTTTTTGGATATAGAAATTGCAGATAAGGGATTGTAGACCGATAGTTGATATTTCATGAAAATAAGATTAACTTTTATATGTTTTAGTTAGTAAAAATTGTCAAGTCATTTGATTCAGAGCAACAGATATGTTTGAATATGCAAAGTTCAATTAAGTTCATTTTATGTTAAAACTTTGGAAATATTTTTATATGCAATTTTTCTATTTACCAGGTGGATGGATGATGGCTTAGTAAATGATATTACGCCAAAATTGATAGGAGACAGACCTAATACGTACATATACACAAAGGCATTGGCAGAGTATGTTGTACAGCAAGAAGGAGCAAAGCTAAATGTGGCGATTGTAAGGCCATCAATTGTTGGTGCCAGTTGGAAAGAGCCTTTTCCAGTAAGTTATTAGGCATCTTTATAAATTATTGGAATTGAAGTTTAGATCATAACTATCTAAAAATAGTTATTATTTGCTAAACGTGGCTTAACCATGGCAAAACTGTTCTGCATTCATAGAAAAAAAATACTTCTGTTGGTACTTTTCTTTCTAATGTGATGCTGAATACATGGACATACAAGTCAGCATTTTAAAAATTCTAATCGAAAATTAAATAAAAAGCTGTGGCATTATTTTGAGTCAAAGGGGAGACCATGATTTTGTTTTACAGTACTGAGAAGAGGTAGGACATCCAAAAAGTAGATGCCTCCCTGTATAGAGCACAAAGATAAGAAAGGCATGAGAGATTTCTATAACTTGCTATTAAAAAAAAAAAAAAAAAGGCAAACAAACAGTATTTGTGAATCCCTGGAATAAAAGAAAGCCAAAATATATTCCAGTGGGTAAATTGATTTAGGAAAAACCTATTAAAATGATAGCACCTCTTTTTTTACTTTGACAGTTATTCTGTTTTCCTCTATTTCTTCAGTAATTTTGAAGATTTACCATTTTCCACAATCACGAGTGATGCATTGGTATCACTATAAAATCAAACTTAAACAGGCTTAATTTAGCAAAAACATCTGCCACTATAAACTCCTTTTTATAATATTCTCTTACCAAATAGTTAATGGAAGAGTAGGTAACCTCTACTCTTTAACATACTTAAATATTTTTATTTAGTCAGAGGAATACTGCTTCTATTTGGTACTAGTATAAATATTCTGGCCTCAATGAAGTCTATTTTTTAGCTTTTAGGAGAAAGCTACCAAGTATATATTGGAAGAAACTATCAAGTATATATTTGGGGTTGTAGATTTCAAATATCAAATAATCTCTAGTTAAATAATATTTCTAAGGTTCCTTTCCCCCTTTTTAATTTTTGGTATTAGGGATGGATTGATAACTTTAATGGACCAAGTGGTCTCTTTATTGCGGTAAGTAAACTTTTTGATTTATTTAATCTATATATTTTTCTGTTTTCAATATATCTTTATATATAAACATAAATCCACTGTGGTTTATATATCTTAAGGTGTTGTTTTTAATTTCAACAAAGGCAGGGAAAGGAATTCTTCGAACAATGCGTGCCTCCAACAATGCCCTTGCAGATCTTGTTCCTGTAGATGTAGTTGTCAACACGAGTCTTGCGGCAGCCTGGTATTCCGGAGTTAATAGGTATATGAGGTGACAATGTCACTTATTAAATATGTAGTAATGGAGAAGGGAAAACAGGGCTACTGACGAATGTTAATTACTCCCTCATTCCTGAAACTGCTATATCAATATATAGGTGATATCACTACCAACTACAAGAGTTGGTATATTCCAGGCAATAAACAGCAAGCAGTCTTGTCAGAAGTAATGAAGAATTCATCTTAATTTTCATGTACTATGTACAGGATGGACAAATTCAGTAGGGATTAAAAATGGAAAAAAAAAAAAAGCCCTTTTCAAGAATGATTTTTTTTTTTTTTGAGATAGAGTCTCACTGTGTTGCCCTTGGTAGAGTTCTGTGGCGTCACAGTTCACAGCAACCTCCAGCTCTGGGCTTAAGCAATTCTCTTGCCTCAGCCTCTCAAATAGCTGGGACTACAGGCACCTGCCACAACGCCCAGCTATTTTTTGGTTGTAGTTGTTATTTGGCAGATCCAGGCTGGATTTGAATCCGCCAGCTCTGTTGTATATGGCTGGCACCCTAGCTGCTGAGCTATAAGCGCTGAGCCAAGGGCGATTTTTAATTCAAAATAAGACTTGGTGTACACTTGGCATATTTAAAGAGCTGAAATTCACAGTGTGGCTTACATATATTAAACATATATTAAACTAGAGCATCTTTAATCAACTCATGAACATCCTTCTTTTAAAAGGTAATAGTAGTATTTATAGCTAACACTTAAATTTTAAGCTTTTCAATAGCTTTTTTTTTTTTCTAAAACTGCCCTTGTTTTTGAAGTCAGTATTTTATATCCTGAAAAATGAGGGTTGGAATTATATAAATATGTTGTTTTGGGTAAAAGGGAACTTAAGTTTTTTTTACTAGAGCCTCTGAAAATGAGTCAGGAAAAGTTGAGATTACTGTTTTGCTCACGTTTAAAAACAGACACTACTGCTAATACAAAGAAGAAAACATGCAAAGAAAAAATTCCCACTTTTTTTATAAATAATTTTTTTGGTATGGGAGGGAGAAAGGATAGTTTCAAATAGAATAGCCATTAATATAAAAAGTAATCCTTTAATTAAAAAAAATCAGTATAGGAAATGTACCTGTCATCCTCATGTCTTCTTGCTTGAATATTATGTAAGATTTAGACTGGTTAAATTTGGTTCATATTTAATATAAGTTTGGGTTTTATGTTTTATTTCATTGTTTTCATCTTTGTCTTTACAGACCAAGAAACATCATGGTGTATAATTGCACAACAGGAAGCACTAATCCTTTCCACTGGGGTGAAGTTGGTATGATTTTACCTGTGTTTTTGAATCTTAGAATAAATCTTAAAGAACTTAAGTTCACTAAAGTTTTAATATTAGAATACCTATGAGACATTAAGTTTAGTGAGTTCTTATTTGTTCTTCAGTTTGTTCTTATTTTAATTGGCATCTTAGAAGTAATAGCTACCAGTATTGCCTTGTGGTCCTTAGTGATACAAAATTAAAAGTATCCTACTGTATATTCCCACTTACCCTACCCTTCTCTGACCCTTGGTCTTCTGCTGCTGCCACCTGCAGCAGCCTTCACAAATACCTGTGCCACGGGAATAGTGCTTTTTTTCTCCTTGATGATGTTGCCTGTCCATAGGGAATATCATTGCTAACTATAAGAGTTAGTATATCGTGTGGTCCCCAGAGTAAGAAATGAAGAAGTTAGGAAGTAGAATACAGTTTAACAAAATATTTTCTATTAACAATTATAAATTATTTAAATTCACAGTCTCTCACTGCAGGTATTGTGTATATGTTCTTAGTTCTTAAAATAGGAATAGTAAAACTTAAAGCCTATCAAAATTTAATCATTTTTAAATTATTGGTTGATGATTATAAATTTAAAGTAAAATGTATTTATGATAATGATTTAGTGATAGATCTTATTTTATCTCTAATTGAATAATTGTTGTTATCCTCACAAAACAATTTTGATTTCAAACTAAATTTTTTATGACATTTTTCCTAGGATTTTTCTATGGTGTTTTTATTTCAGTTTGAAGATTGGCCATTAGAACACATAAGAAAAATATAATTTCTAGAGTAATTTTAATTTTATGCTAATTATTTTAAGTACTTTTAAAAAAACTAGACACTTCATATGTTTAGCTTTTTTATAATCTCTTCATTATGTTGTAAAGTTTATTGAAAAATCAAATTGAGTATTATTTTTAGTGAATATCTCCATGTACTCTTCCATTAACATAGATGATATTAGATGGTACTAGGTTTGATTATATTGACATTCCATAACCAAAAGAAATAACAGCAGAAGTTAATTTGTGGTTGGTTTAAGCTTGTTGATGTGTGTTAACTTAAGCATCTTAAGCAAAGGATGATGATTTTCCTTTTCTTTTTTAAGTAAGTACAGTAATAAGAATCTGGAAAGAGGAACAGAAAGAAAGAAGCTATCGTGAGAAGTGAAATATAGAAAGTGACATTGTAAACTGGCATAGGTAAATCATTAAAAGGATTTTAAGAGTGAATTTTAGTAAAAATTCATTCACCTAATTAAAATTCATAAATACTGGCAGTTTTAAAACCACCTGAGTTTAGCAGTCTAATACCCGTATTCTCTTAGCTAATATAGAGAGTAGAGAAGTTTGTTTTTTAAATGAACGAACTCTGACATTTTTGTTGAAATATTTTGCATTGTAAAAACATGATTTTTTTCAAAACTTCATTACATGGTTATTATCAAAGCTGTTACACAACTTTTCTTCCTCAGAATACCATGTAATTTCCACTTTCAAGAGGAATCCTCTCGAACAGGCCTTCAGACGGCCCAATGTAAATCTAACCTCCAATCACCTTGTATATCATTACTGGATTGCTGTAAGCCATAAGGCCCCAGCATTCCTGTATGATATCTACCTCAGGATGACTGGAAGAAGCCCAAGGTAATGGTGACTAGCTCTGTCTTATCTGTTCCTCTGACTGTTAAACAACCCATGCTTACACTAAAATGCATATTAATTAACTCTGTATTTGTTTATGCTTATGACAAGGCTTAATGGCCTTTTGTGAATGAGAAGAATGTTGAATTTATGACTTTGTCAGAAAAGCAAAGGTAGTATTATAAGTCACTCTGATTTGTTGTGACGTTTAGATAAGTTATTGTCATGTATTGAATTCTAGGTCTAACTTTAGGTATTTTTCTGAATAACAATATTCAAAATGCTTTGACGCTTATTTTTCCTACAGGATATTATCTAACTCATTCCTTCAAGATGAATCCTTTAAACCAAGTATTCAGGCGCCCCAATATTAAGTTTTATTCCAACAACCTATTGCTTCATTATTGGAAGGGTGTCAGACATACAGTACCTGCATTATTGCTCGATCTTGCACTCAGGTTGACAGGTCAGAAACCGTGGTAAGAAGAATAGCAGTAAATACACTATATATTGGTAAGGTGGTGGAAGCTTGCTGGAGAGACGAAAAGTCTCTAGCATGAGCTTTACCTTTAGAATTACTAACCTAATTAATCACAATCACAATCGGGATCCTAGGACATTTCTTAGAAATTGGAGATAATTTGGAGAGACTGACTGTGGATTTCATCTTATTGGGTCATTGACCCTCCAAATCCCATAATATAGGAAATGTCCTATGTCAAGGTTGTCATTGTTATTATAAGCTGAAACTGAGCCCTTTTCTTCTCCCCCTTAAAAACCTAGGGAAGAGTTTTTACAGGGGATTAAGGGTAAAATTTTTGCTTTAAATGGATGGTGCAGTTTTATATGAAAAAATATAGGCTACTTCTAGAAAATTAACTACTTAAAATATCTCAGCTACCTATTCAGCTTATAATATGGTTATTACAGTTTTTGACTAATTTTCAAGTTTGGGAATGGCATATTTAAGAAAAATTAATAACAAATGGAAAACTTTCTATTTTTTATAGTTGTTATAGCCTTTCTTCTTCTTTTTTTTTTTTTAGTTAAACCCTCCCCAAACTTAAAGTTCTCCTACTGTCTTTACCACACAATTACAGTGAAATGTACTATAAAAATATTTATTTTTTTTAACTACATTGGCATTACAGTGGAGTCTTTGGAGAGTTCAGAATTTGAGTATTAATGTATAGAGAAGATGCTGATTCCAGAACTTCCATCAACTTCTCAAAAAATAAAAGTGAGGTATCTGCCAGTTACAGTGTATCAGGATCTGAAATACCTGTAGGGATTTTCTGTGGATGCACTTGTTCATGATGTTCCTAACCCTGTATGTTAACACTGAAATACGTGAAAGGTATTGAATTGAACAACTCTAGAAAAGGAAAAGAAATAGTTTCAGATTTTTCAAGGATTATTTGCACAGTTTGTCATATTTGCCACAATTTGGGGTAGAAATGTCAAAACTGGGTCATGAAAGTAAACCATTAAAAATACTACCATGTCTAACACAGAGAAAGGGGGCTTAGTAAACTTAAAAGTGATTAAATAGCCAAAGTTTACTAAATGGTTCAGAGTAGATGTTGCTGCACAACAAATCTTCTCAAACTTAGTGGCTTAAAAATAGCAAAAGTCAGATGTCATTGTCTTCATATCATGACAACATCTCTCCTTATAGGTTCTTTGCAAGGAATTACTGGTAGTCTTAGAAGAATTAGTACATGGCAGCTGAAGATTTAAAGGTGGGTGGGGGAGTATATCAACAAGTAAGGTGAAGCTATGTTGCCTTTCCTCACCTGTCTATGGAAGTCATGGAGCATCACTTCTGCTTCATTCTTCTAGTCACAAGTGAGCCACAGATCCTCCTAGATTTAAAGCAGGGGGATTTAGAGAATGGTCAAGATCATGTTATAAATGAACAAGTAAGATAAAGGGATTTTTGTGGCCATTTTTGAAAGTGTAGTCTGTGATAGTCAACCTTCTGGCCAAAACAATTTATATTCCTCCCACAGGAAAATATTTTGCTTCTTTCTCCTGAGATCCCTGTGACATCAGCTTAGAAGTCAGGGTTTTGTCATCTAAATCCAACCAGTTGCAGATGAGGCTTTTTAAGAACAGGTTTTGTAGGCATAGCTCCTCAAGTACAGTTCTTCACGTGCTGATCTGAAAACCTGTAAACTAAAGCACCAAGTTCCTGGCTGCCCATACCCTCATCTAGTGATGGTGAGATAAGCAAAGGAAAATGGTTTTAGACAATCTTGTTCAAAAAGAGAAAATGGGAGGTGTATAGTAAATATTGGTCCATAACAGTTCTGAAATCCAGTCAGGTATATGTTCATGGTTTCTTGATTGGGGCTCATTTTTGCATGCTGAAAGTTGCCTGAGGCTTGGGCTTTGCCCTCTGAGTCATCCTGCTTTTTCCATAAAAAGTAGCCGAATGTGCATGTTCCTATTCTGCTTCCTATTCATGAAAAGTTAGGAGTTGGGAGTAGAGATTGGCAAACTTTTCTTGTAAATTACGATCATATTAGGCTTTGCAGACAGTATAATTTCTGGTGCAGCTACTCAGCTCTGTTAAAGAGAGAGACAATAATGTAAATTAAAGAGTGTGACTATGTTCTGGTGAAATTTCATTTACAGAAACAGGCAGCAGGCTGAATTTGGTGTGTAGGCCTTGGTTTGCTGACCCTTGATATAATGACCACTTTTTATTTTGCAGTCTCTCTCCCTTTACATGTAAACTGATGTAGTTGCTTTAAAAATTGTTTCTGTAGTATCTATTTTAAAGGAATCTACTCCAGTAGACTAAAACTATACATGTACATGTCTTTGAAACAGGCCCTTCTCTGTCTTGGATCCCCTATGAAGCTTCTATGGGACAACAACCTTAGGGCTTAGATCTGTGCTTCTTAGTTCCTTAGACTCTTAGATCTTGCCTTTTATTTTTATTTTTTTCAACAGAACAGATCCTGCCTATTAAAACAAGTTTCTGTGACAGATGTCTTTAAGATCAGTAGAGAGCTTTTTGTCTGAAAACTTATATGAGGCACTGCTTTACATCTTTCTAAGGTCTTAAGAAAGAATCTGACAGCCTCACCCTGAATCTGATCTATGCTTAGAAACTATTCTTTTGTTCGTTTGAGACAGAGCCTCAAGCTGTCCCCCTGGGTAGAGTGCTGTGGCATCACAGCTCACAGCAACCTCTAACTCCTGGGCTCAAGCGAGTCTCCTGCCTCAGCCTCCCAAGTAGCTGGGACCATAGGCACCCACCACAATGCCCAGCTCTTTTTTGGTTGCAGCTATCATTGTTGTTTGGCGGGCCCGGGCTGGATTCAAACCCACCACCGTAGGTGTATGTGGCTGGCACCTTAGCCACTTGAGCCACAGGCACTGAACCTAGAAACTGTTTCTTAAAGAATTCCTGGCTGGCAGTTTGCATTTCCTCCAAATGCCACTCAGACAAATAGTTTATTTCGTAAGATGATTTTTGTACTCTTTCAGGAAATCTTGGCTTTATCATTGAGGTTATTAGGTATAGTTTCTGTCTTCCATGTTACTGGTGACACTTTCCAGCTTCCAAAAGTGTTTTCTGCCCTTCAAGCCCTCACCGACAGCTTCCTCAAAGCCCTTTCAAGGCTTTCACTAACATTACTTTCCTGATCCTTTCAGATTTCACTGATGGTCACCTCAAAGGCCTTACAGATCTTGTCTATTACCTGATCCTAAAGCCAACATCGTGTTTTAGGTTTTTATTATAGCAGCTCCTCAATGCCAGTATTAAGATCTGTTACTGTTATTTGTGCTTCATAACAAATCACCTCAAATTTAGTGTCTTAAAACAGCAGTTATTTTGGTTGTGTGTCACAATTTCTGTGGGCTAGGAATTCTCCAAAAGCTTGGCTAAATGGTTCTGGCTCCGGGTCTTTCAAGTGGTTGTAGACAGGGACTGCAGGAGATTCACTGTAGAGGGGAGCAGCTGAGGGGGCCGAGTGTCTTTCTGTCATCACATGGTCTCCCCACATAGCCTCTCAATGTGGTTTCTCCACATGGACTAGTTTGAGCTTCCTGGCAGCCTCAGGGGTGTTGGACAGCTAACATTGGACTGAGGCTCCAGTGGTGAACAGCTGGTGAGCAAGTCCGAAAGCTCTGTCACCTAGCCTCAAAAGTCATACCGTGTCACTTCTAACTCACATCATTCTGTTAGTTATAAGTCACCTTCCCCTCTCAATGGGAAGATAGTAAAGGTGACATTGTAGGTGAGCTTGTAGATGGGAGATAATTTCATAGGCACCTATGGAAATTAAAATCTTTTCTAAATAGGGAATCAAGTAAAGAATCTTACCTGTGGTTGCCTTGTGTAAGGCTTTCTAAATATCAAAATAGGACTAATCCTTGACCTCTGGTTGTTATAGTCTAAAAACAAGAAGAAATACAAAGACTTTTTATTTAGGCAATTATAAATGTTATGTATAAAGTCTTAAAGTTTATATTATTTAATTTGTTCCAATATTTACTGAGCAAGATTCTGGGCTTTATACTTTATAATGGCGTCAATATAATGCCTAATTCTACATTAAACTGGTGTCAGTAATGTCATTTATGGTGTCCATTTTACTCATTTATGTTTTTCTGATTGTCAGAGAAAAATCTGACTTGCTATATATCTTGAAATAACTATTAAAAGTACAGTGCAGATAAATATCATATGGATTCTTGGTTAATAGTCATTGGGATCTAAGATGCCTTGGTGTTACTGCATGTAGAAGCAGTATAAATTATTCATTCTAACTCTTGAAATTTAGTTGACTTTTTATCACTCTTAAAAACAACTTTAAAAACTGGTTCCATGGTTTTGTGTTTTGGTTATTTAGCTTAACTCTCTGCAGCTTAACGTCTCTGAACTTGGTATTTTTTATCTGTGTGATTCTCAACTAGAAACATGTGGCAGTGTTTGGAGGTGTTTTTAGTTGCCACAACTGGGTGGGGCAGTGCTCCTGCAATCTAGTGGGTTGAGTCCAAGTATGCTTTCAAGCACCTTTCCATATACAGACAGCCCTTCACAACAAAGAATTGTCTGACCCAAAATATCTGTAGTGCCAGGGTTGAGAAACCCTGGACTAGATGATCATTAAACTCCTGCCCTACTATAAAGGATGTGATTGGTAGTTTTTGAATTTTGCCATAATAAAGAATAAATAAAATACTCATAATATTCATAACACGCATAGTGGTGTAGGTACTAATATGTGCTGTGCTGTGTGCCATGTTTGGCCAAGGAGTCATGGTGCAAAGTTTTGTGTTTCTTTTTGTTTCTACATTCTACCCAGTACTTTTGTTGCCTTTTTAATATTCTGTAAATTTTCACACACAAATATATGGTCTTTCAGATTTCTTCCCCCTCAATTATTTTTTGAATGGCTGAATCAGTGACTGATTTTAGGATAATTTTCTCACTTAAATGAATCTGCAGATAAGATTAGGTGAGACTTGTCGGTGAAAAAGGAGTTAGGGAAAAAAAAAACTTCTTCATAAGAAGTGTGTTGGAAAACCATGTTAACTATGTATATGTAAGAGAGATTCAAATATACTACACTGGCTGTGATAGTGTGTATTGATTTAGTTACAAATTATTACATCTTTTTTGTGTTTTAGGGGGAAAAATTGCCTAGTCTCTTCTTTCCTAAAAGCAGCACTTATTTTGTCCCCCCAAATGCCCTTTATCTATATGAACTGTTCCTGTCCAGAAATAGCCTTTGATGCTTGACAGTTCTTGTGTTTAATGGAGGTTTTATTTTGAAATTACTTTATTGGATGAACTATAGTTTTTCTTTATATAGTCTATATTTTCTCCAGTATTCTGGATTTGGAATTTCTTTTTAAATGTATTGAATATGTTACGAGAATTGCTTAGCTGATGAAACTGTTTTGATTTTTTCCTCCGTTTCCCATGTTCTAACTGTCTTTCATGTCCCCCATTTCTAAATCCTCTAATTTGGGGGCTTTCTAAACTACATACAATGTTAATCCTTACTGTGGGACTGTAAATGAAATTCTTTTAAATTATTACTCCACAAATTATTTTTCTGTTTTCTGGGAGTTTGGGATGTGGGTTTTGTTTCAAAAAGTTCTTTCTTCCCTTTCCCTACTTATTGTGGGTAGTTATTATCGTATAGATATTACTGCTCAGGTTAGTGTTATGATATCAGTGACTTATGGTGAGCCTTGATATGTAAAATGACACATGTAGGCCACGCGCAGTGGCTCATGCCTCGTAATCCTAGCACTCTGGGAGGCCGAGGAGGGTGGATGGCCTGAGCTCACAGATTCTAGACCAGCCTGAGGCCAGAATGAGACCTCGTCTCTAAAAATAGCCAGGCGTTGTGGTGGATACCTGTAGTCCCAGCTACTTGGGAGGCCGAGGCAACAAAATCGCTTGAGCCCAAGAATTTGAGGGCACAACAGCACTCTACCAAGCACGACAAAGTGAGACTGTCTCCAAAAAAAGGACAAATTTGAAGATTTAAATTCCTTACTCTTTAAAAAAAAAAATACCACATTCCCTTATTTCTCTAAGGATGGATCTTGGTGGGGTATGGGAATATGAATATCTATTAATATTTTGAAAGTCTTCAGCATGAGTCATTGATTTCACAGCACATCCAGAGGATAAAGAGTAATGCCAATCAATGTTAGAGAAAGTTTTTGTTTTTTGAAATAGAGTTGACTAAATGGCAAACGAATATTTCTGTATGTACTTTGCTTCAGTGATGCTAGAGAGTTGGGATTATAATATAATACAGTTATGAATTCACAGGAAATCTTAGTAAATGCAGCTGTGAACTAAAATATAGCTAAAGGAACAAAAAGCAAAGGAATATTAATTGAATCCATTTATTTGCTTATTTAATATTTTATTTAGAAATGACCTTGAGAGTATTGCATATCTTTTTGAGAATTAATTTCCTATATCAGTGAAACTCTGTTTAGGCTATATTATGCTCATTTGCTGCTGCTTCCAAAACTTTTCTTTTTTATTTTGGATTTATAAAATGTTCTTCCAAGATACAGAAATATTCTTATTCCTTACTGGTTTGGTATACTTACTGAATTATGTATTATGTTTTAATGTTAATGTATGCATTAGAGGAAATTGGTACCCTGGGTGGTAATGGGATTTTTTCTAATCTATATAAAATATGAATCTGTCAATTTTTCTTACAATACAGGATGATGAAAACAATAACTCGTCTTCACAAAGCTATGGTGTTTCTTGAATATTTCACAAGTAATTCTTGGGTTTGGAATACTGACAATGTCAATATGTTAATGAATCAACTAAACCCTGAAGATAAAAAGGCAAGCATTTTCTGTTCTATATTAGGAAATAAGTAGCATACTAATTAGAGACCCATTAGCAACCCGAGAAATAGGTACTTCCCCACAACCATTATAAGGAAGTCATTGATTTATTTATGATCTCTCATTAAAGCTTCAATCATAATTATTGGTGATAAAATAAAATTCTCTTAAAATTTATAGTTTAAGTATTTTAGAACGGCAAAGGTATTTTCATGGTATGGTTGACATGTTGATTCCTTTTTCCCTCAGTGGGTTCAAAGAAAACTTTAACTTCATGTGTTTTTCCTCCAATCATTTTGTTTTCTCTGAGTTTTGAGAAAAACCTTCTCTAAGAAATTGTTTTTCACGAGCTTTTTCACTTTTTTGTCATTCCATATTTCACTCTTTGCTAGTTTAAAACTTAAACTCTCTATATGTGGTCTTTGCAAGGTTATTCCAGATATTTTATCATGTATATCTAACACAGACTATGTTATGCAATATCTATAGCTGCCTTCTCAGTGATATTTAGCAGCTTTAAATGTTTTAGCTATGATGAGCACTCTCACTAACTTATTTGGTTGTGTATTATATTTGGGTATGATTAAAAAAAATTTTTTTTTTAATTTACCTTGTTTGTGTTGGGGTCTCTGAATTCTGAAGTTTGGTGTCTTTCAGCAGTTTGGGGAAGTGATTAGACATTGATTATTCAAATACTTGGTCTTCGTCATTCTCTTATCTGCTTCCACAATTCATAGCCTATGTTAGATCATTCTGTCCTCAAGGTTTTTAACCTTAATTTCAATATTATATCCCTTTGTTTCTGGACTAAAATCTAGATAATTATGATTCTATGGCAGTCTATCAGCTATGTTTAAACTAAACAATTGAATTTAGAGTTTCAGTTATTTTCATTTTTTAGAAAGTTTAATTTATTCTTTAGATCTTATAAATATTTCTTAACTAGTCTCTGGAATTTTTTTCTTTGAAACATATTAAACATAATTGTTTAAAATTCTGTGCTTGGTGCCATAGCACAGTTGTCATATGATGCCAGCCATGTACATTGAGGCTGGTGGGTTCGAACCCAGCCCTGGCCAGCTTAAACACCAATGACAACTGCAACAAAAGAAAAATAGCTGGGCATTGTGCTGGGTGCCTGTAGTCCCAGCTACTTGGGAGGCTGAGGTAAGAGAATCGCTTAAGCCCAAAAGTTAGAGGTTGCTGTGAGCTGTGACACCACGGCACTCTACCAAGGGCAACATAGTGAGACTCTGTCTCTAAATAAATGAATAAATATATAAAATTCTGTTTCTGATAATTTAAACTTGCAAAGGATTTATAGCATCTGATTCTGCTCTCTGTTGTTTGAGCTGGGCCTTGTTCATGGCAACTTAATTCTTTGTTTTCTTATTGTAACTTGTTTAACTGTAAATTTTGTATTCCTTGAGGATCTTTCTGGGAAGTTTTTTTTTTGAGACAGAGCCTCAAGCTATCCCCCTGGGTAGAGTGCTGTGGCTTCACAGCTCACAGCAACCTCCAACTCCTGGGCTCAAGCAAGTCTCCTGCCTCAGCCTCCCAAGTAGCTGGGACCACAGGCGCCCGCCACAACACCCGGCTGTTTTTTGGTTGCAGCCGTCATTGTTGTTTGGCGGGTCTGGGCTGGATTTGAACCCGCCACCTTAGGTGTATGTGGCTGGTGCCTTAGCCACTTGAGCCACAGGCGCCAAGCCTCTCTGGGAAGTTTTTAAGGACTAGATTGAAATTGTAGTTTCCCAATAAGGATTTGCTTTTTCTTCTACCAGTAGCCTAGTTAACTAGCCAGATGGTATTAACAAGCCAGGACAGGTTTTTAGCATAATTTAGGTGAATGTAGGGCCTTAAATAGACCACTGGTCTATCTAGTTCATGATTAGTTTCTTGAAGAAGTTTTTTATCCTCCAAGTTCCATCTTCCTTTCTCTCCCCACTTACTTTTTTTAATTTATGTTTTACTTAGCCCAATATATCAAAAATATTTGAACATACCAAAAATTTAAAAATTTATAAAAGCTATTTTCTATTTTTCATACTGAGCCTTTAAAACCCAGTGTGCATTTTATACTCCACCTCTTAGTTTGGACTAGCCACATTTCAAGGGCCAGAGAGACACATTTAGCTTGTGGCTACTGTATTGGACAGTGCCGATCTAGTCCATTCTACTGAACCTGCATGACAAAAGTCCTCGAGTGAACTGTTTCTCTGTCCACTTTTGTGTGTGGTGAATTTACTTTTTTTCACCCTTCCTCTTAGGATAGAGCTTTTTAGGTTCTTATCTCTTTGCACAGGTATTCTATAAAGGTCCTTAACTTACAGGACACAGGCTTTATTTCTAGACAGTCTTCTCCCTGCCTACAGCCTTCAAGGCAGGATTAAGCCACCAGGGTCTTGTAGATACTCTCAGGTTGTTGTGGCTTCTACTGATTCCTTACTTTCTCCTTCCTTATCTTCCCCCCATGCATAACACATATTGCTTAATAGATTATTAGAAGACAAAAGTATGAAATAATCATAAATGTGAATAGATTAAAAAAAAAAGGTAAAACATGAAACAAAGGAAGGGGAATCAACATCCCTTAAAATGAAATAACACGGTTGTGAGATGAATCTTTACTAAGGGGAGAATGAAATAAATATGCCTTAAATGCCACACTAATAAAAGACAAAATTTATATATGTATGTGAGTGTATATGTGTACATATAATACATTTTGGATAAGAACTCTTAATAAAACCAGTAAATGTATCAGTACGTGTGTGAAATAGTGAGGAATACATAGATCTATTTGGACAATAGAACTTTGTCTTTTTTATTTTTAAAAAAAATGTCAAAGGCTTCTTTCTTCTTACATTTAACCTAATTCTCTTTAAATGCCAACATGAGTTACCAGATTATCTTTTCAAATGTTACTGTGTTTAGTGGAGATTATGAACTAGAAATAAGAACTTTTTTGCTAATAGCAATAAGATTTTAAAAGTTAATTCTGTATTTAAACATTTTGTAATCACACCATTTGGAATTGGCCTTTACAAAAAATATAAATTTTTTACTGACTGTGAAAAAAATTACTTAGGACAGTAACCAATTATTTTTTGTTAATGTAGACCTTCAATATCGATGTACGGCAGTTACATTGGGCAGAATATATAGAAAACTACTGTATGGGAACCAAGAAATATGTATTGAATGAAGAAATGTCTGGCCTCCCAGCAGCTAGAAAACATCTGAACAAGTGAGTCTGATGCATAGGTTTGTTTGTATCTTGTCTTCCTTATGAAATATTGTGTACATTTTAGGAATAAGCTGATACACTGTATAAAAGATAGTGCTAATGATCTTACATATTTCGGATAAATATTTACCTGTGGGCTGGAACTACAGTAGCCTTGATTTAGCCTAAGATTGTTGAAAGTTAATAATCTATTTCTTAATATAAAGTTCAGGTGGAACTGAGTTTTTTAAATTACTATTATCTTATATTGCTATAAAAAAGCAAAGATAATGGGAGAAAATTAAAATGTCTTTTAAACTAGATAATTTATTTATGTACTTTTATTATCCTACTCAAATACTCTTTGAAAGAACAGATACAATAATACATCATTCAGCATAGAATTTTTTCTTTGTAAAATAGAACTATAATAATTTCCTTATTCTCCTTATACAAGTGATACATGCTGGCTTTTTTTAGTCTCAGAAAATAAAGAAGAAAAATCACTGGTAACCCACCATTCAGAGATACATAAAATTTTAATGATGATCTTTTTTATTTGTATTGTTTTTTAATACATTTATAACAGTTTTTAAGACTTTCACATTATTATCCCTCTTATGCCTCACAACTCTGTATGTAAGATTTTGCAGGGCAGCCAGTTGTGTAGATGAGGAAATTGAGGCTTAGGGAAGTTATAGTTACCTAAGCTGTACGATGTTACGTGGAAAAGCAAACTGGAATATTGATCTTTTGACTTCTTATTTAAAGTTCAAGCTCTTTTCTCTACATCATTGTTCCTATCTGAATTTAATGGAATTTATATAACATTATTACATGTTTAAATGTTTGTATTCCTTTCAAACACCGTCAGAACACATCAGAATGTTTTGAAACATGAGCTGGGTAATGAATGGGAATGGGAAGATCCTCCTTTATAGAGCTAATGTCATGTTTTATTCTTAGATGAAGACTGATCTAGTTGGTCTTTGATCATGTGTCTGTCATGTATAACTGAAGTAGAAAATTTACTTGTCTAGAATCTTGTAAGCAACTAAAGATGTCAAAAAATGTTTCCTGTGTTTTGTACTGTGATGTATACTATCATGACAAATCTTGATTTAAATTAGATAGAAAGCTGCAGAAGTTCAGGAGACATATCTGCTTTACCAAAATATTTGATGACTTCTTAGTACAGTGCTGGGCTTACAGAAGATGTTCAGTAGTATTTGTTGAATGAATTAATTTGTATCTCAAATAGACTGTTAATGAAAGGCATTATTATATTCATTATTAATAGAGGTAATACATTATTTGATGCCCTGCCACCCAGAATATACAGTCAGTTTTGTTTGGATTTTGCTAACTTTCTAACTTAACTTAAAAGCTTTCTATCTTAAGGACTTCTCGTTTAGTTTTTAAACAAATTTCAAGCTAATATGGACTCGAAGTTTGATTAGATTAAAAATCAAGTATTTATTAGCTGCTATCCAACAAGATTTTAATCTGGAAAATGCTGCCAAACACATCTCTTGATTTGCTTTCTAGGTTGCGGAACATACGTTATGGTTTTAATACTATCCTTGTGATCCTCATCTGGCGCATTTTTATTGCAAGATCACAAATGGCAAGAAACATCTGGTACTTTGTGGTTAGTCTGTGTTACAAGTTTCTGTCATACTTCAGAGCATCCAGCACCATGAGATACTGAAGACCAAGAATTTAGCATTAGAACATCTATGCATATGGTGGTCTAAATGCACAAAATGTAAAATGTACTTAAGTCATCTCACCTTTTGTCAAGACATTAAACCATCTTAGATCAGAGTGTGGAGTAAATTATGGTACATTTTGTGTAACATTTTAATGTTT